GAAATGATTCTTTTTAAATGTTTATTCTCTAAATGATTTCATTTCCCTTTTTCAGCATACTTGTCCTACCCTTATATTTTACACTTCATCAGGTTATTCAGGTCATTTAAAAAAAAAAAGGGAACCAAATGATGTTCAGTTCTGTTAACGGTTTTCTCGCATGTCCATGAAGATGCGTTTCCTGCACTACAGTTAGGGGGCGCCTCTATACCGCTACTAAATCTACAGCGCAAACATTTGATTCCCGTTTGAATGACACTTTTGAACTGATTCTTTTTAGTAAATCATAAACATACAGCGCGCCCAGTGTAGAGTAATCCCCAAATAAATGGCTCTTAAGTTTGGCAGTGGAATTGCATTCCCAAACCACTATGGAAGCATTAATGGAAACTGGATTCCCACCCCTTCTCATGAGTTTTGGCTGGAAGGCAATACTCAAATATTATATTATTTTGCTGTGCATGTTGGTTAACGATGACACACAAGGACAGTAATCAAAACATCCTATTGGACCAATTAGTAGTGTGAATCTTTCTTTTTTCTAAGCATCTGCCTCTTGCCTCCATTCCTTGAAACTCTTGGTATTGTCCCCATTGAGAGCTGAAAGAGGCTCCTGGACACCATTTGGCATCCAAGTGGTTGGACGCCTTGTCCTCCAGTGCAGCCTCTCTCATTTCACACGTCCTCCCCCATTATCATATCAATTGATGCAGCTTGTAGGAAACAAAGTGAGGTTATGGGAACCACCTAGAGCAACATGCACCATTAAACATCAATGCAAGGGGACTAGCACATATGCAAGTTCAGCCTTGTTTACCAAGATGGAAGACTGGCGGTGTGTGTTTCTCGAACTCTTACAGCTCACGGTCCTCCCTTTGAACCTTAAATCTGATCCTTAAATCAAGTTTAAATCTGTTTTACACACCATGGTTTTATTGCATTGACATTTGTTCTGTGCAGCAATTTGCATGTATTTAATAGGCAGCATGCTCTTGTGTTCTAACTAATATATTTTTACTGTAGCATATTTTTTTATTGTGGACTCTGACCCCCGGGTGTGACCTAATGTTGTACCATGTACTTCCAAGAATCTCCTCTTTTTTTTTTTCCAGATGACTCACCACGGCTGGGATGTTTGGACATATCCCAGCATGCCTCTGGTGCGTGACCTGTCATCAGAGGGCAGAAGGGTTAGCCTGTGCTAGTACCTACATTCTCACCATGTGCTCACTCCCTCACAAATCTGAATAGAAGTGTCGTTGCTTCATACGAACCTTAATCGTCAGTTTGATGTCCATTATTGTCTAGAGCCTCTTCAGCTCAGTCATGGGTATCGAAGGAAGTAACAGTTAATGCCATTTTTTTTTTTTCTCATTCTCAGGCTGCGCTGTTTCTGAGTCATAAAAGGAAGTAGAATCAGGTCAGCCTGTGTACAGGAAGGAAGGAACCACATACAGTTTCATTTTGAACATTTTCATTTGCGTTTGGTCATTTTTTTTTTCTTCAGGCATTTGTCCGTTCAAACAAAACAGCAGATTTTTTTTGCAGATTTTGGCTTCATATGACCATGTGCACTCGCTTCCTCTTTCTCTGGAAGCACGAGAAAGCATGCTATAATGGCAATGTAAATATTGTAATCTTTAATTGCAAAATAATAGATAGATCATGAGTTTCTGTTAACTTAATTCACACGGTAGATCCTCTAGTTAATCATTTCAAGAGGAAGGCGGGCAAGCATGCTTCATTGCCTGCATTAATTAAGCAAAGTCATTTTGCTGCTAATTAGCTGATTCTAAAAGGATCTGCTTTTTGTGTAATTAATTATCAAAGACACAATCGGCTGACTCGTATTGGGAAAAATGCTCACACGCAGCAGACGTGTCTTGAGTGCTCATTGTTGCGTCAGTTGAAAGCCTTTGCTCACATTCTCTGTTGTTTACTGTCTGTGTCTGATGCTTTCTTGAGTAGCTCTCCACATAAAGTGATGGTCTTTGACACTTACTGACTACAGTTTGCAGATGTATACTTTAAAGCTGTCTGTTGTTGCATGTTGCAGATTATGGGCTAAAAAAAATCATCGCAAGGGCTAGCTAAGACTGGCTATTGTTTTTCAGCTCTTTCTCCTTGGGTCCTCTTGTTGGTGTCAGGAAATGTGAGGTTTCATGCGGCCTACGTGTGGAGTTTGAAATATTGTAATTTTAAGTTGCATGCACAAAAATGACCACATTATATGACCACAAAGTCATATTTATCCAAGAGATGCTCGGAGCTTTCATGACACCAGAGTAATGTAGACAAAGTAAAGGAACATGCTAACATCAAAGATGGAAGACAGCTCTGCAGTTAATTTTACTGAATGATTTGTTTGTTCAATCTCAGTTCTATTTGCTGTTCTTCAGATGAGACGTAAAACCGAGGTCCTGACTCTCTTACCACTTTTCCACCAACAAGAACCAGGTGCTGGTTTAGAGCTAGAGCTAATGCCGGTTCGGAGTTGGTTCGACTATCACAGATATTGATATTGATCACGTCGTATTGATAACAATATTCTGTCACATATGTAAAACTTTGAGTTAGTTCACCCAAAAATGTTCTCATCATTTACTCATTCTCATGTCGTTCCAAACCCGTAAGACTTCCGTTCATGTTCAGAACACAAATGGAAATATTTTAATGTTGACAGTGATTATTAGTCCACTTTACCCCTAAAAAAAAGTTCATGAAGAGATCGTAAAACTAATCCATATGAATTGAGCGATTTAGTCCAAATTTTCTGAAGAAACATGATCGATTTATATGATGAACAGATTGAATTTAGGCTTTTATTCACACATAAACTTTAATCAACGCACTCATCAGATATGGTAAACTGAAGCTCAAGCATGCTCAAGGAGGTTTGGTTGAGCTTCTGTTTATATTCGCTGATCAATATTTAAATGTGAATAAAAGCCTAAATTCAATCTGTTCATCATATAAAGCAATCGAGTCTCTTCATACATTTTTATCTATACTGCTCGCTTCATATGGATTAGTTTTACAATCTCTTTTTGAACTTTTCAAAGTGACAACGTGGTAGTTGCTTGGACTTTCAATATCTGCATTTGTGTTTGAAAGATGAATGAAAATCTTATATTTTGGATAGGGATGCACGATATATCGGACAGCATATCGGTATCGGCTGATATATGTTCATTTTTAATGTTATCGTTATCGGCCTTGTAAGAAAATGTGGCCAATATATTAATAGCCGATAAATAATGTATTATTCCCTTCAGCTGAGGCACTTGTTGAGAACTGTTTATGTTTTTGATTTTCTTGAAATATTATTGAAATCTCTTTAAAAAGAGATTTTTAAAAATTAAAATATGGTTCGGTACAACATGTGCAGCGCAAATCTGTCATAACGGCTATACAACAATATAATGAGAACATCATTATAATCGTGCGCTTGAGACATGGATTTAATTGTGAGACTTTGGTTTTTGTAATCAGGCTCTCAAAATTAGGTAAAAATTTGGATTTAAATTTATCGGCCGATATATCGGTTATCGGCTTTCAAATATAAAGAATTATCGTATCGGTATCGGCCAAAATTTTCAGATCGGTGCATCCCTAATTTTGGAACTACATGGGGTGAACTATCCCTTGAAGACCCGCCCTTCACTGATTGCCTCAGGTTATTGAACAATAATGTTTATTTAATAAATCACTAATTAATATTTAATAATTCTCAATCAATAGTAATATTTTATTTATATATTTGTAATTATAACAATTAGTAATTTATGTAATAATTCTAATGATATTTTGTGGGATTTACTCGTTTATTTAGTAGTGATTTATCAATTACCCATTATTGTTCAATGACATTATTCAGTATTTTTATACATATTATTATTTTCATGCAAATTAAATCATTTTTCTAAGTGTTTAGTGTCTTATAGCCTTAAATCCCATTAGATTAATCAACCCAATAATTAATGTATAAATAATGTTGTGTAAAAGTGATGTAGTATCCTGGAGTATATATGCTTGTCAAATGGTATAACAGAAGTGACAGCAATTTTAACATCCATTGTTTTTGTTTTGACTACTTCCACATTTTTGGTCTGACTTGAATGTGTGTCATGTCATAATAGTGACTTCCTAACTCTGGAGTAGGGAAGTAACCAGATGCTCTTGAAGGCAGGCTCAGTTTCAAATGGTAAATTGTGGTGCTGGACTGGGTTGCCAAACTTGCCACATGTGGAATTTTCTGAACGTCCTCAAGAATCTAATATTAGGTTCTCTGAAGTGCTCTTCTTACTGTAAAGCAAAGTTATATCAGTCTCATTCAACCCTAATGGAGGCTAATGCCATGAATAAAACACAAGCATATTGCAGAATGCATTCGAGAGGGAAAAGCGGGACAGTTAATACATTATTTTATCCTGAAAGGAGACCGATTATTCAAAGTGAATGCAGAAAATAGACTGACAATGTCTTTCAAATGCTATTTTAGAGAGGTGATCCATTTCTGCACAAGAATTGTCATGCTGAAGAACCACCAAATTAAATAATTGCCTCTTCTTGAGTTCAAGGCCCAAGCAGGGCTCTTATAGCTCATCAAGTGAAAATGGCACATCCCTCTATTTCTTTCTGCATGTCTTGTCTTGTGGGAACTTCTCCATCTTCCCACAGTACTAACTTTGTTTCTGCCTCTGCTTTCTTACAAATGATTAGCATCATGCTAACTAGGTTTGTTTGCGAATAAGAAATAAGGTGTACGAGCTGACAAAACAGTGACTGGCTTTTATTTTTGCCGATTTGAATCTATGCTTGACATTACTGCCAAATGAAAACATACTTTGAGTTTCTATAGGTCAATGTTTTTTTTTACCAAAAAATGACCATTTTTGACAGCAGAAAGTCTTGCACGTCTGCCGAACAGCCGATCTGTGAAAGAAGCAAGTTTTTCAGCTCAATAATAGTTTAACAATTAAACTTATACTTTTCCACAGGTGACAAAGTGGAGACATTCCCTGTGCTGGAGATAGACCAGAACGAGATAGTGGACACCAACGGTGCTGGAGATGCCTTTGTTGGAGGTAATGTGCTACTAAACCATAAAGATATACTTTAAACCAGTTGTTCACACAAAAAATGTAATTCTGTTGTCATTCATTCCACCCTCATGTCGTTCCCAACATGTATGGCGTTCCTTTTTTTGTGCGGAACTGGTGATGCCAATGATTTTAGATATGTTTCTCTGTACTATGAAAGTCAGTAGTGTCCAAAACAATATTTTGACCCCTTTGACTATAGATGAAAAATCACTGAGACATTTTTCAAATGTTCTGTCTTTTTTTGTGTTCAGCACACAAATGGATTGAATTGTTGAAACGGGTGTTTAAGACTTGACCTAGACAAAAGTATGTTTAAAGAAACAAAATAATAGTAATTAAATACTTCATCATTAATATTAGTATTATATAAACCCAATAATTAATGCATAAATCACAGAAGAAAAAAATTCCAGTCAGCAAACAAATGGATTGTTGAAACAGGTGTCCAAGACTCAGAATAGTCCAAGACGAAAGTATGTTTGATGGAAAATCACTATTGACAGGACAATTTAATCCAGGATTAGGTCTGATCTGTAACCTCTGGGAAGCTGGACCGTGATGCAAGAGCTCTGACATGCAATGCTTATTTATTTCCTGTGCAGCTGCTCTGGAATGACAATTTGTAGATCTATTGTAATATATACTTCATTTCATTTGGCTTGGTTTAGACGCATGAAGCCGCCTATGTACTGTTTAACCTAAGATAACACAGTTAAGGGGAAATAAATGACTTTCATGATGGATTAGTGGAGTTTCCAGACTACCCACAGCCGTTATCATTAATCTGCGTGTTTTGCTAATAAGTGCGCGTTCAGATAGCCGCTGCGTGTCTACTCCGATCTGAACTGTGAAGTCATCCATCAAACGCGTAAAGCACGACTCTGTTTGGCTCCCCGTGAAAAACAGAAATATCGATGTTGATCAAGCTGTTTGCGGGGGTCTTTCGGGTCCGCGTAATTTATCTTCATACGACGCCTCTTGCGTGGCCCTCTGCTTCTCAAAGGCCAAGAGTCTGATTTGCTAACATGTCTTCCTGTAGCTGTTCCAGGACAACCTTTGCGACTAATAGAGCTGTGAGCGTGTTTGCTCAAACGTCGTATTGATTTTTTTTAACTCCTTTATCCGTTCCAACAAGAGGTTGGAGGCCAGCTCTCTGCCACGTTGGAAAATGAATTTGCCAGCTGTTTTTCAATGCGCTGCTGCAGAGAGTAGAGATCTAGGTGGGAGGGTTCAGAGCCCGAGGGCAGCTGGAGGATTTCTGTATCGCACATCACTAAAGGGGGGCTTTTGCATCACCTTTCCCCCTTAAGCCTGATTTCCTTAATTTTTAAAAAGAAAGTACGTGCAACAAAATCGATACCCCAACTACGTTTCCTAAGCTAACAATTACCGCCATATGTTTGTGTGTGCTTCACGCGCTCGGATGTGTGTTCATGTGTGCGTTCATTAAGCATATGTTTGTGCACGCTTTCGATTAGGATTAAATCAGTCTACTCTCTTGCACCCGGATCTGATTTGTGTCCTTTTTTTTTTTTTCATGGTCTGGTTGCATGTGTGTGCAGGTTTCCTGTCTCAGCTGGTACAGGATAAGACCTTTGAGCAGTGCATCCGTGCTGGACACTACGCTGCTAACGTCATTATTCGCCGCGCGGGCTGCACATTCCCAGAAAAGCCCGACTTCCACTGATGGGCCGCTGAGAGACCGGAAGATATGGCCACCCAAGTGTTTTATAGGATTAATGCCTTTTTTTAAATTGCCTTTTTATCTTCTGTTCCTCTTCCCTCTCTTGTTCACGTGCCTGTTTTCTCTGTCTCACGGCCTAATTCAGTCACAGAGACGTACAGTATTTCACGTTAAAAACTGTTTACAAAAGAGGAATATCTGTGTTGCAAATATTGATCGTTATTACTGAAGTGATTTTAGTCATGAAGTTAGGAGTGGTTATCATAACCAGCATCTTTTCAGATGTGGCATTTGCTAACAAAATAACTTTAATGACAAGGTAGTATCATACTGCTGTAACAACTGAAGCAGATATTTCAAATATATATTATAAAAATCAGACGAATCATTTGAACTTTATTGAAATCAAAAGCTTATTTTGTCTCAGAGGAATTGTGTTGGCTAGTCCTGCTGTTGTAAACCAAACGTAATTGTGAAAAGCACACTCAAATGTGTCATATACTGTACAAAGAAATCTGTTGTTTTGTGAGCACAACCTCTGCCAAATAAAAATAAAAGAGCCTCATTTACTGCTGTCACTTTTATTCTTTTCCTAACCTTATAATTAGTCACGTAGACTAGATGTTTTGTTGTTTGAAATATGATTATATTGTGAATAATCAGCTTTTTTGGTTCAACGGAGAACTGAATTCGGAACCGCATACTAGCTATATACTCTAACTGTTTTGACCATTTCTTTCTATGGCTGGAATAGCAAGAGTAGTATGCTAGGATCCGGTTCCTAATTCAGCACAGGACTCAACTTTTGGCCTATTTTACTCTCTCAGTATCTTACCTCTGTGTTCTATTGGATGGTTAGAAAGCCTGCAGCTTCTTCCTGTCCGCTTGATGACAGTGGCAGGTCTGCAAGGTTCATCTCTGTGATATGGAATGAGGAGCAGCTATTTGTGAGCATCATTAGACTCAAGGTACAGCTGCCCCTTTGTCCCCGTGTGTAACCGCAATCATAGCGGATTCAGGTACTGTCATTGACAAACACGTTTTTGGACCGAGCACATGGTTTTAAACAACCCGTGAGTCCATGCGCAATCCTTAATGACAGCAAAGGACAAAGTCCTTGAGCACTATTTTACATTTTCAGCTCACACACAGTCACGCTTGTGGGTGGGTGTGTGTTTTTTCACTACTCTAATCCTCCCGCTGTGTGTTTTACAATGATGCTGGGTGTTTTTAAGACCTGTGAAAGTTGCCTTTGAGGTTTATAAAAAGTAATTTGATTCACAGGTGTCTTGCTGTTGGACAAAATTTCAGTTACTGTAGATGACATTATGGAAGGTGAGCGAAGTCAACACTTTTAGTTGGGTTTTTGATCTCGAAATTGTACTTACAATACTTATAATGCAAATAATTGTTTGGTAGAATTGTATATACGTTTGCTGTTATTGAAATGGGATATGGTTATGGTTAGTGACAGGTTTAGTGGAATTAGTAAGTTTTAAGAAGTAAGAATTAATAATAAACATAAACTTACGAGGAAGATGTAGAGTCAACAGTGTAATTATTGATGTATATACAGAAATGAATTACATTGGGTTCTACGTATATACAGCCTTAGGATTCTTGACTCTTTTTTGACTCAATTGACATTTTGCATAAGTCATTTTGTGTTTTTTCTTGTTTTCCAAAGAGATTATAGCAATTATGCTATGAGGCTAACAAAAAGGAACTTTATCTTAAATAATTTCATAATACTTTTAATTAGTTAATTAAAATGTTCTAGTGGTAAAGGATTTTTTCAAGCTGTTAAATTCATATATGTATTCAAAAATTAAATGCATAAAATGATCCCATGACAGAAACATATAATATATAAGTACAATGTAAATAGATGCATACACATTAAGTGCCCTGTAGCAAATTGTTTTCAATATATGACGTGCTATAGATCTGGTCAAAATGGTGACAATTTGAAAGCAACTGGGTCAGTTTATTAAAGACAATGAATATGATCAGCAACTGTGACCTCATTTAAAGTTTATTCAATTCATAATGATTGATGCTTAATATACTTAAAGCTATTTGGTTTGGTTTGGTCCACTGTACAGTAATAGCAAATATTGTTATATTTATATTATTTAAAAGAAGAAAACCATCTAGATACAGTAGCAATGTAATGAAAAATCATTGTGTTTGCTTAGTTGGAACATTCAGTGTAGTTAGAAAAGTAAAACCAGTATCTGGAAGGTCATCAGTTTGAGCTAATCTATTTACCCTACTGCTGTTATACCCTTGTGATAAGCACTTATCCTGCCTCTGTCTACATGTGAATATGAATGTGCCAGTGGTTGAAATATGCAAACATGAATAATTCCAACGTATCTGTGCAAACCGTAAACAAATGTACCTTCCCTTTTGGCATACAAATAAGTAACACTGACTTGTGATAGCCACACAAAAAAAGGGTCTTGGGCTAAAAACAATGCCGGTTATCACCTTTAACAGGTATAATGTTTATGAAAAACGAATAATGGTTAGCTGGGACATTAAATAACATTGTTGTAACAGGTCAAATAAAACTAAAAAGGGCAGTGTAGTGCACTTCTTTTATTACAATACTGTATATAGTGTTTGGTATGTCACACCCAGACCAGCGGCTGTAAGAAACTCATGCTGTTGTCTTAATCAGGTTTCCCAAAAAAAAAAAAAAGACAACCCTTTTGTGTCAGATCACCTTGATCAGGCTTTGCTGGAAGCCAATATGTAGGCTTTTGCCAAACCGTAACCACATCCTGCAGGGCTCAAGTTTTGTTTTGTGTGCAATTTGTTTTCCTTTCAGGCACAGTAAAAAGTAACATGGTTCTGCCTTACGCTACACCTAAATTTCATCCGCAGGGCAAACCCACAGGCTTTCAGGTGCGTTTGTAAACCCTTGTGGGGTATATCGAAAATGGTTTAGATATACTCCTATTATGTTGTTCCAGTTGTGGTGAAGCAAATTTCCCTGTATTTATTTGATGCTGGTATTTATTATATTGCAAACAAATATCAATTAAGTGTGCAACGCCTTCTAAGCAATTAAACAGTGTGGACCTTTTTATAATTCTGCATATGCGCATGTATTAATATGATATTGGTCTGTGACGTGCTGTATGGGTGATATTAAAAGTTTCATCTTCCTCTTCAAAAACATGGCACATCATACAGTATTTTGTTTGGTTTAATTTAGTTTGGTTTGGTTTCTCACCCGTGCCATTTAGTTTGAGCATTTATAAAATCTAGATTTTGTATGCATACATTCATATCCCAATAAGTGATATTAAAAGTTTCCTTTTCCTCTTCACAGACGGGGCACATTATGTCTTCTCTTTTCCCACCCATGCCATGTAGTCTGAAACAATGTACATTGTTTCCCAATGAGCGATGTGATGTCACATAGCGGTTACAGCGAGTTAGTCCTCCTCTGTGGCTGATGGAGTGCCGAAAGGGGAGGGTACTACTTTGTCACAGACTCCTATGTAGATTAACCTTTCAATTAGTTGTTATCAGGTTCCCTCTGCCTACGCGTGCGTTCATCTTCCGAATCAAACAGGACCCCTTTGGATTTATCAGGCTACTTTGCGCATATATCATCAGCTTCGCAAATAAGCGTGTTTTTATTGCTTAAACGAGGAGTGTGGAGAGATCGCGCGAGGAACTTAAAGGTAAATGTTCGCTTTGCCAGCGTTGTCGGGCATTTATCTCGGCGGTGTCTTGAGTGGCTTGTTATCGGTGGCATGTTTTAATCGTTCAAGTTTAAGTTGTCGTGAGTGATGTAACTTGACGCGAGCGGAGAAATTAATTCGGGCTATTAAGGTTATTGGGTTACACGAACCGCGCAACTATCGCAAGCTATGGCTTGACCCGCATAAATGGAATTTTCCAGATGCTATCTGTTCTCTGATGCTTGATCTTGAAATATGAGTGCATTTTGCATGTTTTAGGCATTAGGGAGTAAACGACCAGTAGTCGTCATTGCATTTTTTGTGTGTTTTAGAATAACGGGAATGATTTGCCATCATCGCCAGACATTCGAAGGATTTATAAATGTTGCCTATTTGTGTGCAATACCTTCGTGAGGGAACGCGCGCTCGATATTCATAGCCTTCCATGTCTTCCAAGTGCAAACTAAATATTATATTATATTACAGTGCACACAGTACTGGGAATGCCAAGGATAACTTGGACTAATTATTCACCATTACATTATTTTCCAAAAAGTGTGACTAGGTCGATCTGCTCATATTGCAGTGTAGTGCGATGCTCATAAGGGGGAGCCTTCTTAAAGGTGTAGACCGAGTTTCGAGTGATCTTATATTAAAGAGCCATCAAGTAGTTTTAAATGTATTAGATTACAAGATGATAAAATATTCCCGCTATCACTGTTCTTCTAATTCTGATTTAATAGCTGGAATCGGAAATAAGCAATGCGGACTAGAGATAATTTGCCACGGTAAAGGGATAATTTTATCTAAAAAATGAAAATACTGTCATCATCTACAAGCACTCGTGTTATAATAGTTCCGTATGCCTAAAATGAGATATGTAGAATGACGGCCATCAGTTAGTATTCATTTGTAGGTGAAAAACAAACAAACAAACATTTAAAGTTAATAATGGCCGGGGCTATAATTTTCTCACATTTTGCCTGATATCTCATTGTATGCTCCACGGAAGAAAGTATGTCATGCTGGCTTGAAAAAAACCTGCGAGTGAGTAAATGATGACCAAATGTTTAGTTGTGGTGAACTATCCCTTTAAGAGGCGGGTCAAGTGATTATTGACAGATTATGAAGCCAACTGATTCCTCGAGAGGCCGAACCGTTTCCTTGTGATTGACACTTTGATTATCAAACCAGGGATAAGTATTTGCCCTTTCTAACCAATATTAAAGTTTCTTGGGCGGGACAGTCTTTGTGAAGGTAAGGTTTAATGAGACTCCATTGGGTTGTAATCAGTGTCATGTCGGATTCATGTAAACTACAACATTGTAACAAAATGGCGTCTGTTTAGTAACGCGACCGGGCATAGCGGCGAAGTCACCTGACCTGTCCACCGTATTAAAGCTTCCAGAAAAAAAGGTTTGCGAGACCGTAGGTTAATTGACGCGTTGACTTTGTCATCATAAATTATAGATAGTCATCTGTCGGAAGTAGTCATAAAGCATAACCTAATTTAGCCAGCTTTAGCTTAGCGTGCTAGACTTGAGCTCCGGGGCTGTTTAGAAAGCCGATGCTGGAGATAAGAAGCCGAATGCTTCTGAGAATCGCATGACTTTAGTTCACTATCTCGGCTTTAATCAGAGGACTCGAGCTAAAGTACGAATGTCAGTATGTGTTTGTGACTCTGTGTTTTGTTTTAGCTGTCAGGATTTGAGAGGATGTTGTTGCTAGACTCTTAATGCCAAATGTCATGGCTAAGTCGTAGTTTGTGACCAAAGCTGGAAGAGTGTGGACGAGATTACAAAATAGATTAAATAAGTGTCAAGTCTTAAACAACGCTGTATTATGTGCTTTTAAGTTTGAGTTTAACAC